GTTGTGAGAGTAAAATATTATTTGTAAAGCACTGTGCAGACTTTAAAGGACCATATAAATGCTTTGTTGTTTAGTTGTTTTCAGTCATGTCTGACTTTTCATGACCCCACAAGGGGTCTCGAGTGATTCAGCATTTCCTTCTCCAGCTCATTTTATAGATGAGGAAACTGAGGCAAACAGGCTTAAGTGACTTGCCCAGAGTCACATAGCTAATAAGTATCTAAGGCTGGATTTGAATTCAGGCCCTCCTGACTCTCAGCCTGGCTCTCTATCCACTGTACCACCTAGATGTTTTATTGGTTTGTTTTCTCATTAGTTTGCTTCTCAAACAGTACAGTGATTTAGCTATGATAGACATGCAAGTGAGGGTCGGCAAAGATATATGATAGATACGCAATCCATTTTACTGAGGCGGAAAAGTGCTCTTAGCTTGGAGAAGTCACTAGTAGATAGCCACAGAACTCTGAGGTACAAGATAAGGACTAAACTCCCCCAGCCACCACTCCTCGGGCAGAAAGACTGGGAGCAGACTGATTAGTAATCTTTTATCTTAGTCCGAAGCACTAAAGCATTGTGGCCTTGTAACTTTAAAATTCATCACCCCACCCTTGAGAAGAGGCTCAGTGGAATTGGCAGAGATACAGAAGTAGAGAAATTCATTTATTTGAGAAACGTGACTGCACTACTGAGTGTAATGTCCTGAGGAGAGGCACAGAATGTAGGTAAATCATAGTCCCTACTACCACTCTTAGGAGATTTATAAACCACCAAGGGCATTAGACATGAATTGGTGATTGTAGGAAGTTAGGTAGTCCTGGAGTCAACAAGATCTGACTTCAGATCCTATCTGACACACTTCGAACCTCAGTTGTACCAACTGCAAAATAGCTAGTGATCACAGTATTTTATGACAGGAAGTGACCTTAGAAGTCATCCAGTCCAAGTGACTCATTTTACAGATCAGAAGAGTCTCTAAACCAGGGATGAGGAACTTTCAGGCCTCGAGGCCACATGTGATTCTCTAGGTCCTCAAGTGCAGCCCTTTGACTAAATCACGTGGTCTTCTAGGTCCTCAAGGGTGGCCCTTTGACAGAATCAAAGGGCCACATTTGAGAACCTTGAAGGCCCCAAGTGGCCCCCAGGCTGCAGGTTCTCCACCCCTGCAAGCTTTAGGTTCAGAGGCAGTTGGGGAAAGCTAGATAGAGCCCCTGACCAGGAGTCAAGAATTCTCTTGAGTTCAAAGGTCAAAATCTTACCTCACTGGTGGTGTGACCCCAGGCCAATCACTTAAACTCTGTCTTCCTCATTTGTGGGTTGTTTGTTTGGGATAAAATGAGAATATTTGTAAAAGAACTTTGCAAACCTTAAAGAGCAACACATAAACGCTGGCTTATTATTAATACTATTACAAAGCAAGTGACTTTGAGAGCTAAAAAACAAAGTCCCTTGTGAGATCTGAAAGGGACATCAAGGAAGCAGTCATGAAGACCAGGGGTGGGGTGGGGAACCATATCCTCAAGGCCCAAGGTTCCTCACCCCAGATCAAGACAGAGAATTGAAGGAGGAGTAGGGGTGTTACTGAAAAAAGACGAATAAGGAAATGAATGCGTATGACTCACCACAACTCACTCCTCTCCCTCCAAAAAAAATTCAAAACTTCTCTATTCTCATTGCCATCACCCTGCGGCAGGACTTCATTATCACTACCTAGCCTATGACAACAGCCTCCTAATAGGTAGCTCTCCTCACCTCTAACCCACCTTCCGTCCCCATGCCTTCCCTGCCTCCCCAGTGCTTCTATCAGATTAATCTTTACTCATAACTCCAGCTGGGCAGCTAGGTGGTACAGGGAAGGTATGGGGATGAAAGGTGGGTTAGAGGTGAGGAGAAGTTTTGAATTTTTTTTGGAGGGGGAGGAATGAGTTGTGGCATGATACACATTTATTTCCTTATTCCTCTTTTTTCAATGACACTTCTAGAAAAATCTGTTTCAATTGACTTTGTTTCTAGGTTGCTTTAAGTTTCAAATATAGCCATCACCCCCCCTCCCCACCTCATCACCAACAAGCCAGCTTTTAATAATAATAACAGCTAGCATTTAAGGATTGGGAAGCACTCCACATATGTTATCTCATTTGATTATTACATTATTTTTGTGAGGTAGGAGCTATTATTACCCTCATTTTAACATTTGAGGAAACTGAGACTAAGAGAGGATAGATGACTGAACTAATTATTTTTACCCTCAAATCTTCCTTCCAAACTTCCTTATTACTTTTGGAGACATTATCATCCTCCTAGTTACCCAGGTTTGCAAGCTAGGTATCATCCTCAATTTTCACTCTCACCCCTTGTGTCCAATTTATTGCCAAGGTCTTTTAAGTAATGATAGTCATCTCTGGGGTGAGGGGGAGGGAGAAGGGAAGAAAAAAAAGGAAAGAAAATTAACATGATAACTTTAATGTATATTTAAAAGGGAGTAATAAGTTGTATGTAATAGAGTTGTAGTTTCATGTGCAATTATCTTTTTTTATTATACTCTGTTATGGAAATGCTTGTTTTATTCTATAAATTAAAAATAAAATTAAAAAAAAGTTTACTTTTGTAATATCTTCACATATACTTCCCTCTCTCCTGACACTGCCACCACCCTGGTGATGGCCTTCATCACCTCATGCCTGAACTATTGCAATAGCCTGATGGTGGATCTGCCTGCTGCAAAGCTCCCTACCCCAGTCCATTCTCCACTAGGCTGTTGAAGTGATCTTCCTACAGTCCAGGTCTGCCATGTCACCCAGCTACCCCATAAATTCTGGTGGTTCTCTATCACTTCCCGGATCAAATATAAAATCATCTGCTGTTGAAATCCCTCTATAACCTCCTCCGCCACCCCCCTCCCCCAATTCCATTCCAGTCTTCTTACGTAGTTTACCACCCTTGGACTCTTCAGTCCAGTAGCACGGGCCTCCTTGGTGTCCCCATCTTCTGCCTGATTCTAGGCATCTTCTCTGGCAATACAGTCACACCTGGCCTCATCCTCTCCACCTCTTGCCATCCCTGGCTTCCTTCAAATCCTAGTTCAAATCCCACCCTCTACGGGAAGCTCTTCCTAATCCCTTTTAATTCTAGTGCCTTCTCTTTGTTGATTTTTTTCCAGTTAATCCTATATGTGGTTTGTTTGTATATAGTTATTTACACGTTTTCTCCCCCATTAGATTGTGAGATCCTTGAGAGTAAGGGCTGTCTTTTACCTGTCATTGTGTCCCTAGCATGTCTGGAAGTGTCCAGTATGTGGTAGGTGTTAATAAATGTTTATTGGCTGACTGACTTGACCTGGGTCACGCCACTATTGAGTGTGAAGTGGATTTAGGTTTTCCTGACTCCAAGTTCAGTGGTCTCAGCCACTGAGCACTCTTGTAATTAAGGATAAAAAAGAAAGAGCAAAAAAGGTAGCAGCAAAGACAACTAACCTATCAACTGAGTCCAACAGCATATCCAATATTCAACACCTGCAATGAGTGGGTGGCTAGGTGGAGCAGAGGGTGGAGTGCCAGGCCTAGAGTCAGGAAGACCTGAGTTCAAATAGGAATTCAGACACTTACTAGCTATGTGACCCTGGACGAGTCACTTGTTTGCCTTAGTTTCCTCATCTGTAAAATGAGCTAGGAAAAAAATTGGAAAACCACTCCAGTATCTTTGCCAGGAAAACCCCTAAATGAGGTCGGAAAGAATCAGACACAACTGAAAATGACTGAATAACAATGAGGGGAAGAGAATTTTCTCCACTCTTTTCTGAGGCCAAACTTATTTACATGATATTTGAATTTCTTTCTTTCTTTCTTTCTTTCTTTCTTTCTTTCTTTCTTTCTTTCTTTCTTTCTTTCTTTCTTTCTCTCTCTCTCTCTCTCTCTCTCTCTTTCTTTCTCTTTCTTTCTTTCTTTCTTTCTTTCTTTCTTTCTTTCTTTCTTTTTTTCTTTCTTTCTTTCTTTCTTTCTTTTCTTTCTTTTTTTTTTCTTCTTTCTTTCTTTCTTTCTTTCTTTCTTTCTTTCTTTCTTTCTTTCTTTCTTTCTTTCTTTCTTTCTTTCTTTCTTCCCCCCCATTTACACTGATATAGTTATTGTGAGTACTCTCTTATTTCTACTTACTTGGTACAGATCTAGGCCAACATTCTCATCTTACAGATAAGGAAACTGAGGTCCAGATCAGTTGAGATTTGCCCAAAGTCACACAGGTAGTAAATGTCAGAAGTGGGATTTGAACTTTCCTGACACTAAATCCAGTCTTCTCTCCATTGAGGTTAATGCTGCCTTCTACTGACCCTTACCATTTCATAAGTCTTGTCATGCTTCTGCATTCTTCATATTCTTAATTTGTTTATAGTTCATAGGCATCTATTTTGTTTCTAGTTCTTTGTTATCCTGCCAAAAAAGTGCTGCTAATGAATATTTTAGTATGTATGGGGCCTTTTTTTATGTCAGTTATACATTTCAAGATAACTTGACTAGGCTCATGGGTATACTTTGTGGCTAACGAATAAAATTAACTTTGTGGAGCATTGGAAGGTGAGGAGGGACTTCCGAAATATTAACCCATGGCCCTAAAAGTGGCACTGTCTGGCATGCGTTCTCAAGGGAGAGCTCTCTTGGGCATTTGGGAGACACAGATTTCTTTCTGGAATTCCCTTAATTGAGTTACACCATACAGTCTGTTTCCCTTTCCCCCATCTTTGCTGGGTCAGAAATAATGGCTTAGGTTGGATCTTATGTGGTGGGAACTGGAATAGTCTAGGTTAATTGCAATGAACTTGTGAAGTTTCCTTTTCCAGTCATACTGAAAGCCACAGATCCCATTGCCCAGAGGTGAGGTGACAACCAGACAGTAGACACCATGGGCTTTGCTGGTGCCCGGGGGATTTGTGATTCTCAAGTTTGACGTCTCATATGACTTGTCAAGCCAGGGGAAAGAGGAAGTTAAAACTGAAGACTCAGACCTTTTTAAAAACCTCTTCTCCCTGGGAAACTCAACCAGTCTGTTGTCTGACTTTTTTCCAGAAGGTGCCATGGGGCTTCCCATATTGTTCAGCTGCATCCTGATGGTGCTTCTTGCAGGTATGTGAGGAGTGGGTGGCGCAATCTACATATAGGAGGGCTTTGGGCCTTTGTGTGGTCCCCATACTTCTTAGATTTCAGTAAATCTCCTGCCTCTCATTTAGTACTGAAGGAAAACAACTGTTAGTTTGCCAGGCATATGTGCATGAGAAATATAGTATGAAGGTTAATTAATTCTTCATAAAAAAAGCTTCCTTTGGTACTTAACATTATTAACATCACAAAGTTGTTAAATGTTTATTAGAATACAGTCAAGTGAATTGATGAGGCATTTGATTCTCTTTCATATCAACTGATAGTCTCATTTTTCTTAAAGTTTTTGGAAGAGATACTTACATATCATTTTCAGCCTCCAGGTTGGTTCTTTTTTTGGATTTAATGAGATGGGGAAAGATAAGTTGTTATAAATGGGAGTAATTCTTTTTAGAATGTTTAATAGGATAATATAGTTATTTAAAAATTATTCCCCTCTGCTCTCTCGACAAGTCTCATATAAAGGACATGTGAAACTTAGTTTGGGAACCTCTGATCTACAAGTAGGATGCTTATGGATGGTGGAATAAGGACAGGAAAGGGGTATTTGATTTAGCAAATCCAAAGCCTAGTTAACATTACAGGGCATGGGAAATGGGGCGGACAGGGACAACCAGCTAATGAGCTAAGAGCCAAGCTGAGGTCAAATGCCATCTGTGAATGGAGTAGGAAAACTGCTCTTTATTTAGAATCAAAGGATGATAGATTTAGAGCTAGAAGGGACTGCAGAGTCCATCTAGTGCAGTGTCCTCATTTTCCAGATGGGGAAACTGTGAACCAGGGTAGTTAAATGACTTACCCAAGATCACAGTGGTGGTAAGTCTCAGAGGTGAGATTTGAACTGAGATACACTGCCTTCAAATCTAGCGCCATCTGTCAGGGTATGGCCATAGGGAAGTTATACTGAATGTAATTGGTGAGCCACCACACCTAAGCTGCTTGAATCGATGTCTGTCTCCTGGATGCCTAGCTTGTAACCTGGAGGAACCTGTAAAGTTTGACACTTAATAGCTCTGTTCGCTGGGGCAAGCCATTTAACTGAACTTCATTTCCCTGTCTGGAAAATGGGAATACTTTCACCCCCTACTTCACAAGAAATAAGTTTTTTTCTTTTGAAAACCTGAGCATTCCATAGAAATGTGGACTCCCCCTTCCCCTTAATACATTAAACAAACAAACATTTGTTCCAGGGGGCTGTTCTTTTTCACTACACAATTTAGCCCTGTATTATTGAGCATTTTCTTCTCTAATTGTTTATGTGTTTTTGTTTTATCTTCTCAGCTGAGAGTTTGTTTCTTGTTACGTGGGACAAAAGTTTATACTTATATAGATAGAAGTTGATTGAATTGATTGCTGTCTGGTGCCTTGCACAGGAGGTTGGGTACATAGTGTATTCAGCCCTTTTTATTAATCGATTTCTTTTTATTTTTTAACAATATTTTCTCCATTACATGCAAAAATAATTTTCAACATTTGTTTCCCAAAATTTTGAGTTTCAAATTCTTTCCCTCCCTTCCTTTCTTTCCCCCTCCCCAAGACAGCAAGCAATTTGACACAGGTTATACATGCGCAACCATGCAAAACACATTTCCAGATCAGTCATGTTGTAGAAGAAAACAGAGACCAAAAAAGAAAGAAAAAAAAGGAAAAAAAGAAAATGAAAAATAGTATGCTTTGCTCTGCATTCAGACTTCATCAGTTCTTTCTCTGGAGGTGGATAACATTTTTCATCATGAACCTTTTGGAATTGTCTTAGATCATTGTATTACTGAAAAGACCTAAAGCATTCACAGTTGGTCATTTTACAATATTGCTGTTACTATATAAGATGTTCTCCTGGTTCTACTCACTTTACTTTGCATCAGTTCATGTAAGTCTTTCCAGGTTTTTCTGAAATCATCCTGCTTGTCATTTCTTATAGCACAATAGTATTCCATTACAATCATGTACCACAACTTGTTCAGCTATTCCTTAATTGATGGGCATCCCCTCAATTTCCAAGTCTTTGCCACCAGAAAAAGAGCCACTATAAATATTTTTGTACAAATAGATCCTTTTCCTTTGGGCTACAGACCTAGTAGTGATATTGCTGCGTCAAAGGGTATGCACAAATTTATAGCACTTTGGGCACTCCCCAGATGTTCCCCAGAATGTTTGGATCAGTTCACAGTTCCACCAACAATGCATGTGTCCCAATTTTCCCTCATCCCTTCCACATTTATCATTTTCCTTTTCTGTCATATATGCCAATCGTGTAAGTGTGAGGTGGTACCTCAGAGTTGTCTGCATTTCTCTAATCAACAGTGATTTGGAGAATTTTTTCATATGACTACAGACAGCTTTGATTTCTTTATCTGAAAACTGTTCATTTCCTTTGACTATTTATCAATTGGGGAATGACTTTTATGCTTATAAATTTGACTCAGTTATCTATATTTGAAAAATAAGGCTTTTATCAGATGTAATTTCCCCCCTACCCCCCAACCCCCAGCTTTCTGCTTTCCTTTTTTTGGCTAGGCAATGAAGTTAATTGACTAGCCCAGGGTCACATAGCTAGTAAGTATTAAGTGTCTGAGGCCAGATTTGAACTCAGGTCCTCCTGACTCCAGGACATGCACCAACTAGCTGTTCCTTTCTGCTTTCCTTCTAATCTTGGTTGCATTGGTTTTGTTTGTAAAAAAAAACCCTTTTAATTTAATTAATGATTGATTTGTGATGGCTTCAGGTTACATCTCTGTCCTCAATCTAATAATCTTTACAACTTGAAAATAGTAGACCCTCAGGGCTTCATATGAAAATAATTTTTTGTTATGCATAATTTTAAAGTATATTTATTTTTTAAAGCATAATGTGTGAGCCCTGGGGTTGGATTTGAAGCACACCTGGAAAACTTAACTATCTATGTGACCCTCTGGCAAATCCCTTAATTTCTTTGAGCTTCAATTTCTAGTGTCGGAGAAAAGCTTGACTTCCTGTTTCTGACTCCAAGTCCAGTGTTCTAGGCACTACAGTCCCTAATTGTCTGTTTTCTAATCTCCATCCTTTTCTCTCAACCAGAAGGTCCTTCTACGTATGCACAGACTGTGAGAGGAGCAGTGGGCCAATCTGCCACTTTGCCCTGCACGTATTCAGTGCATAAGGGTGTCACATCTATGTGTTGGGGGCGAGGAGGGTGTCCTCTAAATGGGTGCTCAAACGAAATCATATGGACAGATGGACACAAGATGACCTTTCAGCATTCCGACCGATACTACTTAAAGGAGGACCTTTCTCAAGGGATTGTGTCTTTGACGATAGAGAACCTGACAGAGGCAGATGCTGGGACGTATTGCTGCCGGGTGGAAATTTCTGGTTGGTTTAATGACCAAAAAGTCACAGTGAATCTGAAGGTTGAACAAGGTGAGCCTTTCTCTTTTCTTCAAATGAGATATATTTGTAAAACACTTAGCCCAGTGCCTGACACGTAGTAAATGTTACATAAATGCTTAATACCTCCCCTTCCTCTTTGAAAAATCTTCCTAAGGGAAACTGAGTCAAAGGAACTCCTCTTAAGTTTTTCTGATCTCAATTTCCTATTTGGATTATCTAAGGTCTTCATTACAGGTCCTCTCTTCTTTAGGGAAGCTGGCATTCGGATACACCTGCCCAACTCTGTTTTTTATTTCCTGGTGAAAATGGTGCTAGGATGACACTAGCTTGTAGAGAGATGATATGTTTAGAAGATCCACCTTTACTTTCTAGGCCTTTGGAAAAGAGATTTATTGCAATTGGTACATCTTTGTCATATCTTACTGCCATGACTGGTAAAAAGGATAATGAATTTTGGAAAGGACCTGGGCTCTCATTCTGACTCTGCTACTCCTGAGACTTTGGGCCCACAGGTGGCAGACTGGAATGATAACTGGAGTCATCTCTGGGCCTAACCTTACTCAGCTGCAAAGTAAAAACGTTAGACTGAGATGATCATTATAAAGTTCTTTTTTGGGTCTAAACTAAGAATTCCATGACTGTCTCATTTGGTCCTTGCTATATAGATCAAGCAGTTAATTCCTATATTGAGAAAATATTAAGGTACCCCTCCCTCATGGAGTTGAAGAGATTCATTGCCATTCAGCATTTCAACAAACATTGATCTTTAAGTAAAAGATAAATATGTTGACCCTGCCTTCAAAGAACTTAACTTTTACTGGATGGTTCTCCAAAGTTACTTAGTATCTGATGTCATCTTCCCCATCAAGCAGTTTCGTTTACAGAAGGCTTGAGTCATAATCATATTAATGTTTCATTACTCACAACCTAACAAGAGTAAGGCCTCAAACTCTGAACTCCATCCCTTTGCCTATTCTTGATTTATTTTTTTTTTAAGGAGGAAAGGGATTTGGATCGTGAGCTTTCAAGGTAAGACCCAACACAGCGCCCCATAAATGGCTGATTCTGAGGAAGCCGTGTCTGAGAATGGGAGAGATGCCAAGAGCAAGTGGGCTTAGAAGAAAGTGTGAGAGGGCAGAAGCTCCACTTGTCAAATGGAGACAACTGTCCTGCTGTTCAAGAGTGGAGGAAAGAAACTGGTATATTGAACACCTACTATGTTCCAGGCCCGGCACTCTATCCACTGTACCACCCAGCCTCTGCAATGAGATCATAGAAAAATGATTCCAAACTCAGCTTAAGTGCCATTTTTTTTCATGAAGATTTTGTTACTAGAGTACCCCTCTCCAAACTACCTCAGGGTCAGCATAAAGTCCTTAAGGGCAAGGGCTCTTCCCCTTCTGTCTTGGTGGCCCCTGTGATTAGTATAGTGTCTAGAACAGTGTAAGAGCTTAAAACATGACTGACAGATTGAGTGATTCCTAGCCTTCTTGGAGTAGTGACACTTTTCATGATGATTTGGTTTTTGCCCTATGCCTCTTCTGCTTCTGTGGAAAATGATTCATGGTCCTTATTCATTCATTCATTTATTGGGGGGAAGAAATCAGGGATAAGCGACTTGCCCAGGGTCACACAACCAGATAGTGTCTGAGGCTGGATTTGAACTCAGATCCTCCTGACTCCAGGACCCATGCTCTAACCTCTGTGCAACCTAGCTGCCCTGATACATGGTGTTTATATCACCCATTATATTTCAGTTAATAAACATCAGTGTTTTGAAAAATTGAAGATAATTCCATAATACTGCTTAAATAACTAGATACCCTCTAGGATGATGTCCCAATATTAGTATTGGGGAATTCCTGTAGTCAGAGTTTTGGGCAGAGGATATAAGAATGAAAATCAAGTTTTGAGGAGTCTTAGGTCAGGCATATATGCTAGAGAGGCTGAATCAATGAGGTGGATGATTTTTAAATCCCCTATTATTAAATACAGAGACTCAGCAAAGATGTAGAAGTATAACTCTCCAGATCCCCCTTAGGGAATCACTTAGGTCAGTGACATCCCATGTGGGCCCAAGGCCCAACACAATATTTGAGGTATCTCGGGATTTTGAGCTGGAAGGATCCTCAGGTCATCCTGTCTAACTTTACAGATGAGGCAGATGAAGAAACTGAGGCCCAGGGGGAGGGTAAATGACAGCTGCTGGGGTATCTCAGAGCTGAGATTAGAATCCAGGTTCTTTGACTGCAAAATTGGTGCTTTTTAGCCTCAGACCCCTGATGAGCCCATTAACTAAATCAAATTGATTTTGCTGGCCCTCCAAACATCTCCTCCTTTACTCACACTCCTGTGCCTGTTAGGCTTATTCTCACTTTCCCCGCCTTTTGGGGGATCCCCTCAGCCGCCTCCTCCTCTTGTTCCCCATAGCCCGTCCCAGGCCTCAGGGCACTTCTCCTTCTGCTTGGGCCAGAAACTTAAGAGTTTTTGAGATATTTCAGGTTCTATTGCTGTTCTTACCCTGGTTCTTTGGAACTAAGTCTGAGGTGAAGGTAGCTGGGCAGTATCTTTCATCTCTCCAGGTAAAATTAGATGCTTCGTGGACAAACATTTCCAAGTTCGTTACCCACCGTCTGACTCAGCCAATTGATTTTTCGAAGGTTTGGAATCAGGGTATCCAGAGTTTAAGCACAATGGCTTGTATCTAGAAGGTGCTTGATAAATGCTTGTTGAAATGAAATGCGATCTTCTGGGAAGAAAGAGGCAAGTAAGTAGTGGAAAGAGAGAACCGGACTGAGAGACAGGAGACCTTGCTTCCAGGATATGCTCAGAAATGCTTAACAAAGGGTTTTTTCACTGGGACACACTTTTAAGTTTAATCTTCATTCTTTTTTTTTTTGGGGGGGGGAATTGGGGTTAAGTGATTTGCCCAGGGTTACACAGCTAGTGTCAAATGTTTGATCTGAGGTCAGATTTGAACTCAGGTCCTCCTGACTTCAGGGCCGGTGCTTAGCTGCCACCTAGCTGCCCCCCTTTAATCTTCATTCTTAATGCTTTCTCTATCACTTTCTTAAGTCTAGACAATCAACAAAATAATAACTCAAGCCCGGATTTGTAGCATTTTCCAATTTCCAAGGTGTAAATGCGCACACTGAAAATATAACAACCAGCTCTCTGGTTCAAACTTTCTCTAGCACGCCCCTGCCAGAGTCAGGGCTCTGGCTTTTTACCTCGGGCAAAGTATTTTAATCTTTACCCACAGCTTTCCCAAGGTTGACAAGGCATATAGGGCCCTTGGCCTGGGGTCAGGAAGATCTGAGTTCAAATCCAGCCTCAGACACTTGCTAGCTGTGTGACCTCAGGCAAATGACAAACTCTTTCTACCTCAATTTCTTCACTTGCAAAACGGGGATGATAATAGCAACTCTCTCCCAGGGTTGTGAAGCAATTAGATGATACCGTAGATAGAGCACTGAGCCTGGAGTTAGGGAGACCTGAGTTCAAATTTGACTTCAGACAGACTTACTAGTTGTGTGAAGTACACAGCACTGGACCTGCAGTCAGGAAGACCTGAATTCAAATCTGGCCACAGACACTTACTACCTCTGTGTCCCTGGGCAAGTCACTTAGCTTCTGTTTGCCTCAGTTTCCTATCTGTAAAATGGAGACAATAGGTAAAACCTGTCTCCCAGGGTTGTTGTGAGGATTAAATAAGATAATATTTATAATGTGATTTGCAAACCTTAAAGCAATATTTAAGTGCTAGTTATTATATCTGTCAAATAGGCATCATATAATCTCTGACTTACCTCTTGAGTATAAATGAGACATAAAGTTCTTTGGAAATAACTATGCAAATAAAGGGTGACAGTTATTTCTTTTTCCTCATAAATAAGCCCGGAGGAAGCCATTACTTGCTCATTTACTGTTCCTTGATGTTGACCCATGGAAAAGATTTGTGTGGACCTTATATAAAATCTTACCCTTACTAAAAGAGAGAGAGATTCTAGAATCGTAAGGATTTTAGAATTGGAAAATAAGTTCAAGTTGGAAGGGAGCTCAGTGGCCATTAACATCCAAACCACATCTGATTAGGAATCTCTTCACCAACATCCCTGACAAGCAGTCATTCCGCCTTTGCTTGAACACATCTAGTCAGGGGGATCTCACTTTCTTCTAAAGCAAGCCATTCTGTTTTGGAATCGCTCTAATTGTTAATAACCAGCATTTGTTCAGCACTTTCAGATTTGCACAGCCCTTTAAGAATATTGTTTCATTTGATTCTCACAGTAACCTTGTGAGGTAGGTGCTATTATTATCCCTACTTTATAGATGAAGAGACTGAGGCACACAGAGGTTAAGTGACTTGACCAGGGTCACACAGCCAATAAGCTCTTGAGGCTGAATTTGAACCTAGATCTTCCTGAATCCGGGTCCAACACTCTATCCACTGGGCCACCTAGATGCCTCTAAGGAAGTTTTTTTTCTCCCCACTTCTGAGGAAGCTTTTCCTTACATAAATCTGCCCTTTTACAAATACCATCCATTTCCTCCTAGTTTTGCTTTCTGTGGCCACACTACCCTGGAAGCCATGCCCTCCTCATTTCATAGGTATGGCAAAAACCTTGTGCTCCAGACAGGAGAAATGACTTGTCCATTCCTGAAAGTACCAGAGCTGCCATCTGGTTAGCATTCTATCTTCAAGTTCAATGATCTTTCCACTACGTACACCGCCCTAAACTTCGGTTTGTTGGTCATTTCTCACAATTTTCCCCAGCTCATGTTTTTGTTTTCTTGTGTCTCTATGGTTTCATCCTTGTCTTGAAAACTTACTTCTAATACTAGCCAACGTTGTTACTGCTCTAACCCCTACTTCTTCTTATCTGATGTTTACAACCACCTAAGTCAGGGGATTTTCATGGGAGAGAGAAGACAGCTCTGAGATTAGAAATGGAATGAAGAAGAATGGGAACTGATTTTTTAAAAGTGATTTCTATATGATAGACTTCCAAAGACTGGTGAGAATCTGA